ATAATAGTATATTATTCAACGAGCGTATAATGATGGGTATTATTCACGAGGTGAAGTTTACGGCCACGAGCCGCAGGCGAGTGGCCTAAATCACCGAGTGAATAATACCCATTATACGGGAGTAGAATACTATACTTTATCCACGACTACTAAATATTTTTGTTGAAGTTTTTTTTGAAATGTTTCGAAAAACATGGTATGTTAAGAAACAGATATACGACTCGCACAAATGAAGTCGCTGATGGCTCAGTGTAGATGCTCTTTCCCTTCCAACCGCGGGTCCCGGGTTCGAATCCGGTCTAGGAAAATTCACTTTTTTAATTTTTTTTTTATATGTACAGCACTGAATTGAAAATATTTAGTGGTTTACACGATAAAATTTTAAAAACGGATTGTTTGTAGCAGAACAATATAATATTATAGCTAAATTAAGGAAGCATCTGACAGTAGTGATTAATGACTCATTAATCACTGCCGTGATTAATGGGTATTGTTAAGGTCGAGCAAACAGACGTATAATGGGTACATTATACAATAGTCGTGGATAAAATACATTTTTTCATTTCATGCATTTTTATCAACTTTTAACTATTATGCTTTTTTATTTTCTGTAAAAAAAGCAACAATAAAATTAAATCATAGCCGTATTATCCACCTTGTGTTATTTTCAAAATAAATATACATAATTTGGGGTCTTTTTTCTTTTATAATAAATTTGAGAATAGTAAAAAGTTATTTTCAAAATTCGATATCCCGAAAACGATTAATTTAGGTACATGAAGTGCTATTCGTTAACCTACTTAGCAAATGTCGTAAGTCCACTTTTTATCCAGACAGAGATTTTGGTGGCATCTAGCTGGCAGTGCATGAACCTATCATGCTGAGAAGTCAGCGCGCCAAAACATCAAAACGCAAATGTGGAATGTCCACTGCTATGTATTCGATTCAAGGGCAGAAATAGTCGTACGTCCACCAAAATCTCTGTCGGTATAAAAAGGGGACTTACGACATTTGCTAAGTGGGTTAACGCTATGAAATTTGTTTAGAATTTTGAGAATAATTGAAAAATGTTCCTTTAAAAAAAAGCAACTTTGTTTCGTCATGACTTTTTGGTTGATTTTGGCCTAAAATGTTTGTGTCTTATATTTTTTCAATAGCTGTCTTACTTTAGGAGATAAATAATCGACCATTTCCATTCATATCAACGAGCCTGTATTATATTATAATATATTAAGAGCNTTCTTTGTAAAAGTCCAAAAAACCTTCATATTTAGAAATTAATTTCTCACGAATTATTTACCTATCACAATTAATTTTTGCTTTACTGTCTTCATTTATACTTTGCCAAATGTGATATGAAATTTTACTACTTTCTTCCATTGCTTTCAAAAGATATATTGGAATAAAAAAGGGCTGTTTTCTACCATTTTTCGATATAATTTAGGCAACCAGAAATGCGTCAGTTTCCATCCTTAACCTACTTAGCAAATGTCGTAAGTCCACTTTTTATCCAGACAGAGATTTTGGTGGCATCTAGCGGGCAGTGCATGAACCTGTCATGCTGAGAAGTCAGCGCGCCAAAACATCAAAACGCAAATGTGGAATGTCCACTGCTATGCATTCGATTCAACGCAGAAATAGTCGTACGTCCACCAAAATCTCTGTAGGAATAAAAAGGGGACTTACAACATTTGCTAAGTAGGTTAACGCTATGAAATTTGTTTAGAATTTTGAGAAGAATTGAAAAATGTTCCTTTAAAAAAAGCAACTTTGTTTCGTCATGACTTTTTGGTTGATTTTGGCCTAAAATGTTTGTGTCTTATATTTTTTCAATAGCTGTCTTACTTTAGGAGATAAATAATCGACCATTTCCATTCATATCAACGAGCCTGTATTATATTATAATATATTAAGAGCAACACAACTATAATGCTGTTTTTTTTTTTTAATAGTGTATCGTCATGGAACTCGAATAACACTAGCCGTCAAAGTGACGTTTACAAGAAATGTACTTTTATACATGGTGAATTTTATTATTTTTCTCTTATTTTGCTCACAAAGTCAAACTAAACATTTGTCTCATACAACATAGTGAAATATTAATTGAAATTATTTGAGGTCCCAAATAAAACACATGCGCATTACGAAAAATATCATTTCTGTATTTATTTATTTATAAAACAGTATCTTCTATACCCAAAATACTTAAAATATATCTTGCGTGACTTTTGTACTATGACTCTAACGTTTAAACACGGATACGTTTCAATCCGAACCAAAAACCACCATCGGCAGTCAAGTTGAACTGCTTTTTAGATATCTGAATAGGAATTCTACTTTTTTCGACAGGAACCAGTTCAAAACTCTTCAAAATGTGGAATATCACAGTCTTAGTCTCCAGTAGAGCAAACCTAGAACCAATACAGTTACGAGGACCCAAACCAAAGGGAAAGTAGGTGTAGGGTTTGATGTTGCCTTTGTTTTCATCGCTGAATCTCTCGGGGTCGAAACGTTCTGGATTCGGGAAGTGTTCCGGATCACGGTGCATGGCGAAAATGGGCAACCAAAGCACGTCATCCTTGTCTAGATGCACAGGTTTCTCGTCAGGTCTTGTCGGTTCTATGGTGTAGGGTTTTGTACATACCCTGTCCACAGCTACGGCGATTGGCCATTTCCTTAGAGTTTCTACAACATCACCAAATGGTATTAGGGTACCAGAAAATAAGTTTGGATAAAATCCAGTACGTTCTGATAATAAAGGCGATGATTTCTCAGTTAATTCTAGCAAGAAGGGTCCCCATGGGCTTATGTCCCAAAGAAACTGGCTTCCAAGTTGTAGGGTGTTAAATTTTAGGAAAAAACTGATTTTTGCCTATACAGTGATAGGAACCGAAAGAGATAATGTATTGAAATTAGTTTTTATTGGGAAAAAATGGTACTCCACTGATTTCCTCAAGTTTTGAGACCCCTTTCAAAAAATTTCATCAAGTGTTAATGAATAACTTCACGTCAATCCTCGTTGGATTTTGGCCCATTACCTCGGGACCACCCTGTATAAAGTTTCAGAGTGTAACAAATGTTCAGTCGCGATCGATGGGCGCAGGAGTGGTTCGATCGGAGTGATTTTGGTGTCGTTATGTATTATTCGACGTCGCAACCTTGCTACGTCGAATATAAACAAGCGACCATAGTTGATAGAAATACTGGGTTGCATCTTTTACCGCTGTATTTTATCCATAATAGCTACGTTCAGTTCCAATGTGTCACAAATTTGCTTGGTGTCAAATTCTATATATTTTTTATGTTTAATCGGAAACAAGGCTGCTTACGAGATATTCCTTAGGAACTTTTTTCTTAGACTTAACTGAGAAGACACCCCTTTGCATGACAAACCGAATTTCTGCTAACATTCTATTACATATCGATACGCTTTTCATTTTATATATATCTTCTTTGTAAGAAATAGAAAGAAATATTTTTAATATAGCTTCATGGTATTGCCTACCGTGAATACTAACCTGATACCACCATATCCATGTACTTCATTTTGAGCAGACCTTCATAAGTGAGTTTGCCTCCACATTCCTCCAAAGTAGTTTTAATCTCTTCTCTTAGCTTGTCCTGGATATCTGGATTGGCGACCAATTCATAGGCTAAGAAACACATAAGTCCCGATACAGTGTCAAATCCGGCGAAAAAGAATATCATAGCTTGTGCAGTGATGTCCATATCCGATATATCCCTGATCACTTTGGTAGATTTACCTGCAAATTGTTATTTGGTGATATAAATTTGCTGTAATTATGTATAAACGATAAATTCAACTAACCTAACATTTAATCAAGTATTACATTCGGTCCCGTTGATGCAAGAAAAAGTTATAACAATCGTCGTTTATGTGTGATTCATCAGGAAATGACGTCGGATAACAGCTTGCAGTAACAACAAAACTGATACTAGGTCACACACGAGAAGATTCTTTAATTTATGATTTACTTAGAGAACTTAAATAGCGAATAACAATATTAAAGATGAGGTAAGGTATGAACTGGTTTATCAGAGACGAGAACACAAATTACTGAACTGGACGAGAATTATAAGGAGACAGTTAGAGAGAGAGAGAATAAAATAAGACAGAGATAGTTGTGGGGTTTAAGTTTAAAGCTAGGAAAGAAGTAGTTAAGCAGTAGACATTCTAGACCGTAACCAGGCTACCACCGGGCTACCGCCATCCGGAGCCGGCATCAGGTCTCCAGCAGCAGCAGCAGCAGCTGCTGCAAGGTCACGCTGAAGAAGTGTCAGTGGGGTGCGGGGGTGGGGAATCTGGATTGCAGAAGAAGAAGCCGGGGTCCGTTATCGGCAATGACCAGGAGGTCGGCATCGAGGAGTGCGACGTCAGAGGCGGCATCAGATGCGTACCTCCTGGTCATTGCCGATGACGGACCCCTCAAACATGCGATGTTATACTTTTTAATTAGACGATAAATACAAATAAGAATTAGATATTGCTTCTGAAACTGAACTTATTTTCAGACTTACCTAAATCGCTCTCTTCAGCAGTGGCAAATCCAGTGTCAATCACACCATTTTCTTCCTGTCTTTGGATTCCCTTCCTTGCTTCCAACAGCAGATTGATCATGTCCGGCCGGACGATGTTTTTTTCTGCCCTCAGTTTAATAGTGTCTCCCACAATTTGTCGGAAGAAATGACTCACATCCGCCGAGAATAGCTTCACCTTCAGCAACTAAAAAAATTCTCTAACATTTGATGATACCTAGGAAAACAGCTTTCTGAACTTACGTTATAAAGTTTTGGAAATAGGAAATATCCGAAAAATTTTAAATTCTTCCACAAGCCACTGAAATCCGTGGCTTCTTTCCCCATCAAGTAGAAGTGATTCTTCGGCTGACCCAAGGAATCGACTTGAATTCCGAAAGCTGTAGTGGCTATCACGTCATTTGTGAAACGAGTGAATGTATCCTTAAACTCTATCGTTAGAACGTCTTCGTTTTTCTTCTGGAAGTGTTGTACGAAATTTTCGGCGCATTCCGATATTAGAACGAACATGGCCTTCATCTTGCTGCTGGTGAAGGAGGGACTGAGGATGGTCCTCATGTCGCGCCATTTGTGACCTGAAAGGGTTTGTTGATTCACATTTAACTCAAGGAAACTTTTAAGCCATATGAACTATCGTTTACCTCTAAGAGCGAACAAGTTTTTGCCCCAGAGGGGATCAGCATCTTCAGGAATGAAAGCCCTGTGGTCAGTAAAATGCTCGAAATCCTTAACTGTTATCTGCTTTATCAGATCTGGGTCTTTCAACACTAATGTTGGCACGAAGAACTGATACATACCAGAGTATCTACAAAATTATAAATTATAAGCTGCTATTTAGTCCAATTAACTAAGCCTTTAAATCGAAATTTTGTCAACTTGGCTGAATTTTTGATATGAGCTAGTTTAAGGTATATTATAACAATAAGTGAGAGTAATTTTTTGTTCAACCCCCGGCCAAGGGTGGAAAAAGATAAAACAAAGGGCTTTTTCAAGATAACTCAAAAAGGGTAAGAGCTAGAAAAAAAAGTTTTTCATGAAAGTTGTAAAGCAGACAATTCTACATAAAAATGG